GAAATGAGTCTAACCCATCAAATTGATTTAATCCAAGTCATCATCTACTCAAAACTTTTCCTTTTTAGTATTTTAATCAGTACAAGAAAATAATTTATCTTTTCGTCATATTGTCTGGTCAGGTGTCATAAGCGTGGTGAAGGGCATGAGGCAAAAAGGGTGGTGCGAAGGCATAGATTTGTTTGATATTGGATGTCAAATTGTTTATTTAATTAATTTATTCCTCCTTCCCTATGAAAAGTTTAATCACAATTTCTCAGTAAAAAATAACTCAAAGGATAACTAACTCTTTGTGATGTTTATTTTAGTAGATGTGCAGTATTAGTATTACAGTATGGATACTGAACTGTAAATAAGCTGTCATAAAACAAAACAAAAAAAACAACAAGCAAACAAAATCCTTTTGATGTTTAAAAATCAAAAAAATCTATGAAACTGAAGTATCATAAACTTTTATAATTAAATAAATTTTAATGTGGCATACATTGTTTGATGTAGGTCTGGCTTGGATAGAATAGCTTTTTGTCAGTTTTATTGTTTGTTCCTGACAAAATAAAGTTACTCTCAGCTGTCTAAGCCAAGAATAAGGCACAGTCAGGGGTTTTACAAAGAAAAACAAATTTCAGTGCAGAATCATCGTGATGAATGTATTGTTCAAGTTCACTTTGTTAGCTGAGGTAAAATACTGTGATTGAATCAACAGCCATACATGGCTGTATTTCAACTGTGTGTGTTACAGGGGGATTCACAAAGAATCATCCTGTTCCACAGAAGGTGTAGACATCTTTAGCATCCAGAGTTACTACCTGTTGGCTCTTGATGTAGAAGTGTCTCCTACGTGTACATGCACAGCTGTGTAGAATTTGCACAGTCTGACTCTTAGATGTCATTAAACTGAGCATCATCATGCATCTTGTTAACAATCTAACCTTGAGGCATACATTGATCATCTTTCTTCAGGAAAAATTCTTTTTGGCTCCCTGCATGATGCATATAATTAAATGTATTGCAGAAGACAGATTGAGAGAAAAAGAGAGGAGTAACAGTGAAAGCAAATTTAAATGTACCAAGGTACATTAAATATACCAAAGTACAAGGATGGCAGCCCCAGAAAGTAACACACCTTTTTAGCTATGTGTGGTGAGTTTGGAAGTAGGATCAGCTCCAAGAACTCCTTTGCAGGTGGTTTTTCTGAATTTTGGTTGGAGTTTGGGAAAGCTAAGTCACAGAACTGCGTGGGAGACTAGAAGAAAAAAAAAGAAAAAGAAATAGAGTAAGGAGAAATTTAATGGCAATGAATAATAAAGCTACCAAATGAAAATACAAAAAGAAGAGCAGCATCAGAAAGGAAAAAAGGGAAGGGATCTTTAAGATCATCCTACATATATATCCTACTATAGGCAGGGACACCTCCCTCTAGACCAGGTTGCTCAGAGCCCCATCCAGCCTGGCCTTGAATACTTCCAGAGAGGGGAAATCCACAGCCTCTCTGGGCAACCTGTTCCAGTGTCTTACCATCCTCACAGTGAAGAATTTCTTCCTAATATCTAATCTAAATCTACACCCTTTCAGTTTAAAGACATTTCCGTTTGTCCTGTCACTACATGCTCTTATAAAAAGTTCCTCCCAAGTTTTCCTGTAGGCCCCCTTCAGGTACTGGAAGGCCTCTATAAGAGCGGCCTTCCTGGAGCCTTCTCATCCCCTGGCTGAAGAGTCCCAACACTCTCAGCTTGTTCCTGCAAGGGAGGTGCTCCAGCCTTCTGATCATCTTCGTGGCCCTCCTTTGGACCCATACCAACAACTCCATGTCCTTCTTGTGTTGGAGGCCCCAGAACTGGATGCTGTACTCCAGGTGGGTTCTCATGAGGACATAATACAGGGGCAGCATTGCTCCCTCGACCTGCTCGTCATGCTTCTCTTGATACAGGAACCCAGGATACAGTTGAGTCTATGAGCTGCAAGTGCACATTGCTAGCTCATGCTGAGTCATTCATGAGCCAACACTCCCAAATCCTTCTCCTCAGAGCTGCTCTTGAGCCATTCTCTGCTCAACTTCTGTATCTGCTTGGGATTGCTGCTACCCACATGCTGGGTCTTGCACTTGGCCTTGTTGAACTTCATGAGGTTGGCATGGGCCCACCTCTAAAGCCTGTCCAGGTCCTTCTGGAAATTGATTAAAGAGAATACTATGTGAATGTCCAGGCAGTTTTAAGGTCTCGAGAATAGAAAAATCCAAATGATGGGTGTGCATGATATGAATGTTTTTCTTAGTATTCAAAAACTATACATTTTGAAAGCAGAATACATGCAAGTGTCAGCAATCCACTCAAAATGGTGATTATCTCTGTATTAATATGATGATGTTGAGTCTCTTCTAAGTTGTTTTATTTCTAATACTGTATAAACATGTCATTTTTTTAATTAGGTTAGTTTGCTCACTGAGTTCATAAAGTGATTAGAAACTGTAATTGCAAGTATAAGTATATCAGGTAGCCTTCTCAGTAAGCTCTGAATTCAGAGGGCAGTGTGCCCTTTCATTTTGCCATTTTTGTGTGCAAGAGTGAAATGCCAAATGAAACTACATGAAGCAGGTTCAGTGGCAGTGTTCCTTCCGAGATAATCAAGCCCAACCATCAGCCTGACTTACCAAATCCCATCACTGTAGCATAGTAAGAGGAGGAACTTCTTTACTGTGAGAGTGACAGAGCATTGAAACTGGTTGTGCAGAGAGGTGGTGGAGTCTTTGAAAAGATGCAGAAATCACCTGCACGCTTTCCTTTGCAACTTATTGCAATGCTGTCTTAAATCTTCAAATGTTCTGAGGTGTGCTGGGAGACTTGGATCCAGAGGGGTACCAGGTGACTAGAATATTGCAGCTTGCTGGGATCCAGAAGAAATGATTTTGTCGCTTTGGAAGTACTAACTTTCTCATCCTATTGCAACATAATAAATCAGTATGCAGGGTACTGTAGCATCATGCTCATTACTCTGCTACTCTTTTATTCTGAAACTGTGAGCCATGAAGAGTTTAGAGGGAAAAAAAAAAAAAAAAGAATAATGGCTTTACTGAAGGGTACCAAAGAAAGCAATATTTTTTCACAGGGCTCTCGTTTGTAGCAACCTAAAAAAATAATCTGAAAGAAAACCAAAGAGAATTTGTAATAAGAATAAGCTTACTCCTGACAGTGTAAATCTCGACCTAAAATGTAACTCCTGCCTAGAGCTGTGAGTATGTGCTACAGTGGCTTATTAACACTGACCACTTTGTCCCACTTTGTGCTGTGTTGATGCATATTTAAAATCTGTGCAAAAGTTGGGATAGGGCATACAATTGGCTTTCTGCAGTCTAATGAGTTAGTAATTGTCAGCTGAGGTGTGGTCATGTTATAAAGAGTTCAGTTCAAGTATGATTGAATTTTTGAACTTTCATAGTGTCATAGCTGAAGATCTAATGGGCAAGATAAATACAGAAATAAAATGTATGAACAGCCGTTGTGTTTATTTTTTATGTTCTTGCAAATCTGTGTTCTGCCAAGTTTAACTATTTCATATCTAATGTTTATATGCAGTTTTACTTTCTCTTTAATTTATATTTTACTTGTAGAAAGACAAAACAAGCATATAATAGTATGTTCCAGAGTATTATATGCTAAAACACATGGTTTCTACTGGAATAATAATAATAACAATAATAATAATAATAATAATAATAATAATAATAACTAGTTTCAGACTGAACTTGAAAGCTCTTTTTTTATAGACACTATTCAAATACTCTTTTTTGAGATTGTTTGGTCTGTAAACCTATAAATATGAGTACCAGAGTGTTTCAGCTCATTTTAGCAGTGAGCTGTTGAAAATGATTTTACATTTCTCTGCTTGGACATTTTGAGGAATTACATGGTAAAAATTACTCACGCTCTACTAATGACTAAGAATAGGAAATGATTGATTTCCTTATTTATTTATACATACTTTCTTGAACAAGCACTGTGTTCAATGCTTAAGCTATAGATTCAGAACTGTGGTTTTTTTTTTATTATTTGTTTTTAAAATGAAGTGAACTGTATGGTAGACTTCTAATAATAAAACATACAATTAGAAAAACTTGGAAAATAGTCTATCTTGGTTGTCTTTCGTAGTTCTGAATTTTGTTCTGTAAATAGAAACTGCATAAGTAATAGACTTCCTTAGGAGTGTGGTTCCCACACAGAAAGGTTTATCAAGTTTCTTGCAGTCAGAGACAAATGTGTTTTGGTAATGCTCTTGAAACATTTTCTTCTTTGCTGATTTGTGTTATTTCTTCACAATATTTCATTGGTGTATGGGAACTGTTGATCATGGCTTGAACCTCTGATTGACCACCTGAGGCAAGCAATGAGTCAGCCACGGGAGCACAGGTGAAGGCAATTCAGCTGTGCTACCGGAAGGGGTGGAGCCTGGCTGCACTTCCAGACTTATTTAAGTGTTGACTGCCACTGAAGAAGGATCTCTTCTGGAGATTGCTCCTTGTGGAGTTTATTGTGAGCGTACAGCACCAGTGAGCATTTATCATTTTTCCACTGTGATAATCCTACTTAGCCTAACCTCTGTACATTTATTGATTGTACAATTGGCTTTTTATAAAAAAAAAAAAAAAAAGGAAGAAAGCAAAAAAACAGAAAAGAGTGTATACCTTCCAGGCTCTAGAAGCAAATTTGTACACAAGTCTTTCTTACAAAATGATCTGCAGAGTATTATTGCTATGATCTTTATCAGAGAAGAATATAGAGAAAACTAAACAAACAACCTGAAAGATGCGTGTTAAAAGAAAAAACAAAAAAACCCCAAACTTTATAAGATACCTTATAGTCTATTTGGCTTTGGATTTTTCTATTTGGAATTAGGGGAGAGTAAATACGAAAGTATTTATCTCTTTCCATATGGTCAGTATGCAATGAAGTATTTTCTTTCATGCTTGACATTTTTATGAATATGTGTATGTGTTGGTTACTTTGCAGGAGCTGCAGGATGGCATTGGGCGACAGCAAACTGTTGTCAGAACACTGAATGTAACTGGTGAAGAAATTATTGAGCAGTCATCAGCAGCAGATGCTAACGTGCTGAAGGAGCAACTGGCAAATCTGAATACCCGGTGGCATGAGATCTGCAGACAGCTGGTAGAGAAGAAAAAGAGGTAGGTTAGAAGAAAGCAAAAACATTGTAAAACAATTTTGGCTATATTAGATTTGTTTTCAACTCTCTCTTAGCATTTGGAATTTCTATATTCATAGGAGATGATCAGTAACTTAATTTCATATATGTGATCGTTTAATTCTTTTCTGTATGTTCTTGTTAATGGCTACCACTTCCATCCATATTCCACATTTTTGTATTTTTGCTCCTAATGCTTAAAAACAATAAACAAGTGGTATTTCTTGGTTAAAAGTAGAATAGATCAGAGCTCCATTTCCACAATTTACAATTGATTTAGCATCCCTCTATTTGATAGTATATCATTAAAATGTGTATCTGTAATACTGATAATACCTTAGCTAATTGATACTGTTAATCCTACTTTAATTCACTTTTCATCATTGGTGCCATTAACATCTGCATTTCATTCAGGTTGGATTAAAAGAATAGATTACTTAATTTAATGCTATTTATAATCACTTCCAGATTAATTTGATTTCCTCTTGCAGTCAGAGGAGCATTTGAGTTACAGATAATGAAAATATGGTTTGATTTGTTTGAAAAGAATGCTTCTAAATGACAAAAAAATGTTGATGCTCGTGTTGGATTTTGTAATGCTTTCTTTACGTAGATGCTAAGCCTAAATGGACTTGACAGTCTTCTTTACAGAATGGCCTGGGTTGGAAAGGACCTCAAGGATCATGAATCCCCAACCTCCCTGCCACATACAGGGCCACCAAACTCCCCATTTAATGGTAGACCAGGCTGCCCAGGGCCCCATCCAATCCGGCCTTGAGCACCTCCAGGGACGGGGCATCCACAACCTTTCTGAGCAGCCTGTTCCAGCACCTCACCACTCTCTCTGTGAAGATTTTCCCCCTGGCATCCAACCTAAATCTTCCTTCCATCAAGTTAAAACCATTTCCCCTTGTCCTGCAGTTATCAACCCTTTCAAAGAGTTGATTCCCCTCCTGTTTGTAGGCTCCCTTTAGGTGCTGGAAGGCTGCAATGAAGTCACCCCACAGCCTTCTCTTCTTCAGGCTCAACAAGCCCAGCTCCCTCAGCATGTCTTTGTAGGGGAGGTGCTCCAGCCCCCTGATGCCTTTGGGGCTCTCCTCTGGACCATCTCTAGAAGATCTCTGTCTTTCTTTTACTCCAGACCTGGACACAGTACTCCAGATGGGGCTCACAAGAGCAGAGTAGAGGGGGACAATCACCTCCCTGTCTGTGCTGACCACCCCTTTAGAATACAGGCATTGGCAAAGATTTCTTCAAGCAAGGTTTTTAAAGCACAGCTTACACCTTATGGAAGTACACCAACGAGTGCTGGAGATTTGCTAGGAGAACTAGCTAGTAGCATGCAACAGTTTAATTTCTTCTTCTGTGTCATGTGTCTTTGTTTGTGTGTGTGGTTGAGAGCAAAAGCTGTGAAAATTTGCACTGGAGTGGTCAGGCAGTGCTGAAAGGTGATTGTTGGCTTTAACTAAGATTCAGCTTTCATTTTGACCTCATTGGAAGAAGGAGATGCAGCAAATAAGCTACAGCTGTCAGAGGCTATCCTGGTGTTTTAAATGTTTCTTTCTGCTGTATCTCCAGGTGTGATGGTAATACTGCTTGTTACACATGGGAGTCCTTGACTTTTATTTATTGCTCTAAAAACTGTTCTTTTGTACAATTGAAACCCATCTGTGTTTTCAAGCCTTACCTTGTTAAGTAAGTGCTAACACTTACTAAACAATAACATATCATTTTAATAGCCCTGTAAGCTACTACGGTAACATCAAAGCGAAAGATTGGTGGTTGAGCTTTGTCTGAGAATACAAAATCTGTCCCACTTCTGGTAAATGCAGATATTGTTCTCACCCTTATTTATCAGCAGAAACATGTATCTCAAGGCTGTGCTAACAGTCTGTGGAATCTTTTGGCACATCTCATATTTCAGTGAAGCCTCGGATCTGTTACATGGGAATAATATGGTTATGTTCCCTTGATGAGGGGTCTTAAATAATCTCCCATTTACACTCATCCTTTCCTCCTTTTGCTCTGTTTGGTTTGTTGATTGGTTTGTGGTTGTTTAGTTTTCCTCTGGAAAGGGAATTTGCATGATGTATTGAGTATTGTGGTTGCAGAGACTTAGGTTAGTATACATATTGCCAGGTAATGAATATGAATGACGTTGTTCATATATGACATAAGTACTTCTGTTCTACTGTAGTGAGACTTGTGTACATCATGATGGAGGATTTTGCACTTCTGTTCAGTGCCTTGTCTCCTTGGCTGCAACAGAGCCAGGTACATGCTTTCTGCTCCCAGGCTGTAGAAGATTCTATCCTCAGTCTAGCTGCTGCCTCAGACAAGATCCTAGCTTTTTCTTCTTTCCCTCTTCTTTCCCTCTTTTCAGTTCTAAGGAAAGACACTTAGGTGACAGGAACAGATGATATGCCCTAGCTAGATCTTAATTATCCATTATCCTGGGCAGCAGATGCATCTACAGCATGGTCCTCACATTGCCTTGCTGTCATGGAATTGTTTGAGTTGGAAGGGACCCTTAAAGATCACTTAGTTTAACTCCCCTGCAGTGAGCCTGAACATCTGCAGCTAGGTTAGGTCACTCAAAGTCCTGTCCAGCCTGACCTCAAATATCTCCAGAGACAGGGCATCCACATCATCTCTGGGCACCCTGTTCCAGTGCCTTACCACCCTTATTGTAAAATAGTTTTTCCTTATATCCAGTCTAAAACTCCTCTCTTTTAGTTTGGAATCGTTTCCCCTTGTCCTATCACATCAGGCCCTGCTAAAGAGTCTGTACCCTTCTTTCTTGTAGCTCCCCTTTAGATACTGAAAGGCTGCTATCAGATTTTCCTGGGGCCTTCTCTTCTCCAGATTGAAATAAATCCCATGAATCCCATTTCATGGGATTTTCATCTCTTTTCTGCTTTGAAGTCTTTCAGTTGCTCATTAGTTGTTCTAATTTGGTTTGGGGTACATTCAGGTTCTCTCTGAGGATCTGAATCCAATTTCACCTTTGCTTTGTTCTTAATGAAAAACATAGGGTAAACAAGAAGGGTCAAATGAAGTGACCTCTGGTTGTTTCTATTGTGTGCCATCACTTCTCACTCAGACTTGCTATCACCACCTGTGTTAGGCTCAGTGTATGTTTATACACTGTATGTTTACACAGGTATCCTTCCTTTGACACCAGTGTTGAAGAGATACTGTTCAGCCAGTTTGACTTCCACTCGCAGTTGCTGTAGAATGGTACTCAGTCATATTAAAAGGCATATAATGTGTCCAAGATATCATAACTAGGCTTTGAAAAGAAGCCACACCTTACATCTGAAAATTAATTTTGATGTGCTGTGAATTAGAAGAGATTTGAGTGAACTAAAATATTTTCTTGATTTTTTTTTTTTTTTTTCCGGAATTGTTTCTATATTATTCCTATTAAATCTGCATTCATACATCTCAAGTTATAAAGGAAGTGTAATTTTAGTGATTTCTAATTCAGTTGAAATGTTGCTAGACATTATTAAATGTCATGAAAATTTTAAATATTTCAAATTCTCATTTGTGATTGTTTACCAAACAATAATTTTGATACAATCCTGAACAATTTACAGATGGGGCATAACTCTGTATTTCAGAAATATTTCTCTAACAAGTTCAAAAATACTCATTAGTTATTAGACAGGAGGAAAAAAACAATTAAATAAGAAAATATATCACCATAGTTATTTTTGTAGGACACACAAATATGAGAGTTTAGTTGGAGACAAACATGTATGGTGACATTTCCAAGGGAGCCATAGAATCATAGAATGGTTAGGGTTGGAGGAGTTTTTTAAGATCATCAAGTTCCAACCCATGGGCAGTGCTGCCCCACAGCAGTTCAGGCTGCTCAGGGCCTCATCCAACTTGGCCTCAAATACTTTCAGAAAGGGGCACCACAGCTCCTCTGGACAGCCTGTTCCAGTGCCTGACTACCTTCTGAGTAAAGAATCTCCCCCTCAAATCTAATCCAAATCTGTCCTGTTTTAGTTCAGAACCATTCCCTTTGTTCTATCATAATCTGCCCATGTAAAAAGTTGGTTCCTCTCTTGTTTATAAGCATCCTTTAAGGACAGAAGGCCAAGTGAGGTCAGAGGTACTCTTGCCTTCTGATCATCTTCATGATCCTCTTCTGTACCCACTCCAACAGTTCTGCTTCTTTCTTGTACTGGGAGTCCCAGGCCTGAGTGCACTACTCCAGATGGGGTCTTACATAGGTGGAGTAGGTGGAGACAGTTACCACCCTCTCCCTGCTGGCCTCCCCTCTTTTGATGCAGCCCAGGATACTGTTGGCTTTCTGGTCTGTGAGAGCACAGTGCTGGCTCATGTCTAGCTCTTCATCCTTTGTGGCAGGGCTGCCCTCAATGAGTTGTTTTCCCAGTGTGTGTATTTAGGACTGCTCTAATCAAGGGGCAGTATTTTGCTCTTGACCTTGCTGAATCTCATTGGGTTCATGTGGGCTCACTTCTCAGGTTTGTTCAGATCCTTTTGGTTGGCATCCTTTCTTTCTATTGTCAACTGCACCACTTAGCTTTGTATCAGATGAACTCAGAACAATTTGAAGAGCGTGTATTGTTCTTCAGTAAAAACAAGTGGGTGCATTTTAAATATTTTATTTGAGTTTTCTCTTTTCTTAAGTTTTAACAGGTGAATGTTGAATCCCTGGCTAAACACAGATTTAAGACTGACACTGAATCTCCTTGCTTTGGTACTGAAGATCAAGAGGTCGTTTTTGAGTTATGTTTGTGTAGCATGTTAGCATCCAGTTGCATTTACCAAAGAGTTACAAAGCTGTGGAAATTTGAATTCAGTGTTTAATGTTTCTGTATCTTACAATCTAATCCATCCAGCTATGCATTAGAAGAGAATGTTATTTTATCACATCTAGTCATTTTATCTTACTGAAAACTTCAAAATAGACCAAATAGTTGAATAAAGTGAGACATGATTTAA